TCTCCTCTCTTCTCTCTCTCTCTCTCTCTCTCTCTCTCCCTCGCGCTTCCCTCGTCGCGCACTCTCGCTTTCTCACCTTCTCGCGCTACGCGCGCGTACATCTCCGGCCGCGCTCTCACGCGCCCTTGCCGTACTACGCTCCGGTACCTCGGCTCGGTACTCCGTGCTTGTCCCGCGCTCTCGCTCCCTCTCGCCTCCGCCGCGTCCTTCTCCGACGAGCGCGTTCGTCGCGCGGCCGACCGCAGTCGTCCACCGCGAGTTTGCCCTCGCCGTCGCGCGGACCTGCCACTCCGCCGGCGACCAGGAGTAGCTGCCGCACGTGCTCTGCGCCTCGGGTGCGAGGTGGAAGCGCCGACTTGCCGAGAGGAAAAGTAAGAAGCTGGGGAAATCGCGCGAGCGGCGACACCGCTGCGATGAAGCGAGCGGAGCGGGGTTTTCTTTGCTGAAATGAGAATTGAACGCGGTTCATCAGTGAGCTCAACCAGTGGAAGTGGAGCAGCGACGGAAGGACACTATCGAGGAAGTTGCCGCACGAGGGCTCGAGAACTTTCGTCGACGATCGAAGACCGATAATAGAGACGCTTCGAACGAGATCGATCGGATTCTTCCGACGAAGCTGTTCTTTCGGGATCGTGCGATCAATTGCGAGTGCAATCCTGCCGACTGAACGGTTAATCGAGCCGTGATCTTTACGATCGGATTCTTCAAAGAGTCAACGAGTACGTGCATTCGACGACAGTTGTTACATCATTAGACATTCTCAAGGGGAATTCCGAGTAAAAGAAGAATATCCAGCTTCATCAAGGACACGTCTAACCGCACATTTCCGCGCGCGGCTATCGGAGCGGAATAAAAATAGAAGACGGACGACGACGCGCGGAAGGAAGCGCCGAGAAGCAGATCATCAGTTCTCACAGCGGAAAAGGTGGTCATTGCAAGAAAACCTTCCTGTCGTCATCTGACGTGCGCTCATAGGTGTACAATTATATAGTCAGCCTTTTTTTCTCTCTCGTCGTCCGCCTCTTTCCGCCTTTCCGGCTTTCGTGTCACATCCACGTCTTATTGCCGTGAAAGCGAAGTCACTTCCTGCGTGAGTCGAACGCGCAGCGCCCGCCAGGACGACGATCGCCTCGACCAAGACGCGACGACGCAATGTCGACAAGCTGAATCGGAGCGGAGAAACGAACACACTAAGGAATATCGAAGCGAGCGGGAGATTCTCGGGGACAGCGGATGCCACTCGGAAGCTGAGGAGCACCGCGGGCCGACACACCATAAAAAATCAACAGGTACGTACGAGACACCCTGTTTCCCCTTATTTTCTCGCGAGAGCGCACGCAACGACGGACGTTTCCGCGTGCAATTGCGATCGTGCGCGGCCCGGACGGATAAATAAATTATCCGGCGAGTTTCTTGTCAATTAGATCGATCTTATTATGCGTTTCGCTCGACGTATCTCGATGCCGACTTTCATAAACGTCGATGCGTGTCGTTTGCCTATCGTGAAAAACTTACGCTTGCACCGTTAAATGTATATGCGTCCGCAAAATCCGCGTGTCGCCGTCCAATGAAGTACGTTATTGATTAACGGACGGCGATTAATTCGGGTGAACTTTGACATTCACCTTTTTAATTATTCGCCATAATTAAATTATAGTTCTCGCTCTTGCTGCATTTTGCAAACTGCTTCGGAAAATAATTTCAAATTCTATACGGCTGTGTATCACGAGATGTGTGTCGTGAGTCGGCACGCTTTACAATTATTCCTACAAGCGGTCTTTGCGCATTAGCGGAAAGGCGTATTCTTATAAGCAGAAATTATTCTTCGTCTCGGGCGCCCTTAACGATAACAATCTGACCTAAATAAATTACATTCTCGAACGCGACTTCGCGCTCGCGGCGCGGCGCACGTGCGGTATCTCGCATCGGAAATTCCCGTCGATACTTATCGACGCATCCGAAATGCACACGACGACAGATTATCTGCAGCAATGGAGGCCTCAAGGGAGTGAAAAGCCGCGGTCGTTTTATCGTCCGACGGAATCGCCGGCGGGAATCTTCGCGTAGTGCCGTGTTGAAGAGATGCGGCGATTAAAATTAAAATCATCGTCGCAACATTGTCGCGTTGTACGTGCGTGCCGATGACGCAATGTGCAAATCAGCGGTGCTAATTACACGATAATAATCCGACAGCGCGAAGGGGAGGGGAGGGGGCGAACACACGAGGTGGTCTCCGTGAGACGAAAGAGAACCGAGAAGGAAGTCGCAGGAGTCTTGCTATACTTGAACGCGAGCATGAGCGAACCCCGTGACTGCGACGGCGGCCGCGAGGAAGGAAGGGGCGGATATATACATATACTTATTCGGTCGGGGATATAAGCGATAAATATTAAAGTTCCTTATAAAGCACAAAGTTCTTACCGCTCTCTCGCGCCCACCGCTTCTCTCTCTCTTTCTTCTTCTCCTGGCCGGCACGGTGGGGCCCCTGGCACGCCATCGCTTCATTTAAAATGCAAATTCGTCCGGGTGGCGTGAACCACGGCGGCCCGAATTATTCTAATTACCCGCCCTCCTCTCGGCCTCCCAGGCTCTCTCACCCGCGCCTCTCGCCGATTTTTCTTACCATATTCTCGAAAGCTTATCCGCTTCGCTACCTTGGCGTAAAGTTCGAAAAATCTTGAATTTAAGTCTCGCTGCGTCGCTGGTAGACATCGAGGATTGAAATAACCGGACGATAATGTTCTAGAAAATGTTTAATGTATATTTAAATAACGTACAGCAGCAGTCAGCGTAGTTGATCTTGAACGTTATTATAGATTAAGTACGGTAACATGTCCGATAATTAATCGGCTATGGATGATTTGCAAAATATTGATTTAAAATACAGAGTGGAAATTATCGATCAAGGAAGGAAATCGGGAGGAAATCGGTAGTTTTAGAAAATATTTTGCTATAAATCTTTGAGAATCCATCCATTTTATCACATGGAAATTTTACTACACACACAAATGTGTATAAATATGTGTGTAAAATTTTAGAATAATGTGCATAATAATTTCGTTTAAAAAAATTCTCAAGGACAGGTCACTTCTTCTCATGTTTGAAAGTAAAATACTCTCTGAGTTCTCACAAATACCTAACGAATTACGACGATTGTTCCATATCTTCTCCGCACTCGCCACATTTATTCAAACTGAGCGAGCGACACGGTAAATTGCGACTAATAAAACGATCCTTAATTAATACAAGGTAATTCGATTCAGAGCCGGTGGCGAGAGAAGGAGTACCGATCGGCGATGAAGAAAGGTGACCGATTCGCACGGTAGCTGCCTCGGGTGTACGCATAAACGTGCAAAGTGTACTGGAAACGAGCGTAGATTATCGCGCGGTAACGTGTTCACGATCCGAGCGAGATGTCGTGCGCATGTAGGCCTAATATATTCAGATTTTTATGGCTGGTGGCGTATCGGTGATACGGCCGGTCGGTCGGTCGGTCGGTCGGTCCACCCCCTCGGGTCCCTCTCTGTCGTCGTTCGTTCCCTCGACGTCGCCGCTGCGGCGAAGGACTTCCTCCACGTACCACTTAAAGTGCGGAGTAACCTAATGAATAAACAAAAACTAGATTTTGCTTAGGGCTTGCACATAAAAGCGTGACCTTACTGGCGATTTACCCGCGGCGCCGCGGTTCTCAAATTCACTCCGCTCGTTCTTCTCATTCTTGGAAAACTCAAAGTAGTCGAGTCGATGGGAAATGGCCACCACCGAGATATCACATTTCTTTGAGCATTCTGCTCTTAGCTTCTTTTGTTCATTGCCGATCTTTCTAGTTTTCACAATGAGAAGAAGAGAATTGATCATTCGAAAAAGATAATTTTCAATAATGGCTTTACGAATGGCGTTAGGAGAAATATTATTCAATAAGAAGTGGGACTCTCTTATTCCACTCGATGCAGGAGTGAAAATCGCGCGTAGTCGCGAGCACGACGCATGTGTCACGTTTGTACACGCGTTCACGGCGGCGGGATGCGCGGGCGAAGAAGTAATGGAAAAGGGCGGGACACGTGTTCGCAAGAGTAACATCGGCAAAACACGCGGCACGCGAGAAACGCGGCGCTCCAGCTCGCCGTGGCCGGGTTCGTTTGATTTATAATAATCGCTCAATCCTCATTACGGGAGGTGCCTTCATCCCTGCGGGACGCAGACCGATGAAATTGCCAAGCGAGCGTCGCCGTCGTCGGGCCAAAAGTAATCCCCGTCTCGTGACAAAAACCTCATGCATTCTTCGCCGCTCGTTGCCGTCCGTCCGACGGCGATCCGCAGCCCGCTCTTTAACGAGTAAAACTTGACACCTTGAAATCGCTCCCGTGGAATTTAATGTCCCTCCGAGCGCCGATACACGTGCAATCGACTTTTTTTCGCTTGAAGCCGCGGACTCGTTCGCTCTGCGGGGATTTTCCGAATCTTTATGAACTCGTCGTACGAAAAAAAGAAAGGGGAATATGAAAACGAAAAAAATGCAAGTGGCTAAAAAAATTATTTCACCAGGCTGGGCATTAAAAAAATAATAGCGTTCCCGATCGAAGCGATGTAAATTGCTGGTCAGGTGGAAAGTGGAGTATACTCTACCGGCGAGGACACGGATGACGATCGGGCATGAAGAAATGAATTTTCATCAGGGTTCCGTGCGGCGCATAGCCATTTCGACTATATGGATACCGCGTAACGTATGTAATAGTTACATCAGATTAGAAACCGGGGGGGGCGAGCGTGTAACCAGACCTAATGCGGGGGTAAGCATCGAGTCACGGGGGTGGAGGCGGATCGTACTTATTACACGTACACCTCGAGACACGTCCCCGCTGTACCGTGCACGTATACGCGCACACCTGCGCGAAGGGAAGCAAGGGTAACGACGAGGTAAGGAGTCGCGCGGTGGTCGCGCAAGGGCGGGCAAGGGGTGGTTCGGTAATCGTGCATTAATTTGCATCACAAAGTACACGCCACCCGCCACGCTACGCACGCATCCGACGTATAGTTTTCCGCTCGCTCCTTCTCGTCCCCTGCCTGCGAGTTCTCAAATCCGCGAAATTTCCGTACCGTCGCGACGACCGTCCGGGCGTCGGGAAACGGAAAACTGTCGGAAAACTCCGGTTCAACGGATCGTGGCGGACGGAAAACACGGGGATATCCCGTCGGCTCGTGAATCGGGAACGAATCGCGCATTTGGAATTTCGTGCGCGGCGCGGAATAATTTATGCGATTAAGCGCAAAAACTGAAATATGAAAATGAAGTTGTCGGCGCTCGCGGGGAGAAAACGGCCGCCCGATCGCGGCCGATCCGCGCACGGGAATGAGAGTCACGGTCGGCGGCTTACCGGCGATATTTTGCCGCGCTTTGGCTTATCGGCACGGTTGCATATTTAAGGGTTGCCATGTCAAGCGTCAAGCGCGCCCTTTGAATACATTTAAATTCATTAACGGCGAAGGCTATACTCCCGCTAGACCTTATAATACGTCGCGCGGGTTAAGAACGCACGCATATGTCGTGGCGCATACGTGCACGGCGATACGCTACCCCGTGGAATCTGACACGGCGCGATGTGCACTATGTTTCGCACTATACAAACCGTATGACTTACAACTTTGCCGCTCGAGTCTTATAAAGCGAGTCTTATAAATCTCTTCTGTTACAGATACGGCACGTGATCGCTCGCCATCATGCCGCACACCGGTGAGTACACATTCGCCATTCTACGCATGCATTAGCAATACACCGTTAAAATTGTCGTCAAAATTCTTTGCATACTATTAACGGAATGTAAACTTCCGAGTGACAGAAGATCCCTAAAGTATAATTTGTTATTAGGATTATTAAAATCAACTGGACTTTGCTTTGCTAATAAAGTTAATTTATGATGGAAATGTGAAGTAAAAATAGGCGAATTGCATCGGCAAAAAGCGGAGTTTTTAAATATTTTATAATATGGAAATTATAAACGCATAAATTTCGATAATATGTCATAATTATACGGTATTTCTATTTTGTTGCCGGAAATTTTGCGAAAGCAATTTCACGTGTCACAGCCGAAGGATCGAATCGTCTCGATCGATAGTTTATGCGTATGCTAATCCTTTTTTTGCAAGAGGGACATCGTAGCGATCATCTCAGGCAGCAGCCAGTTTGCTGAATAGCCAATTTCGCCATGTGATTTGACCGTGAGAATTATAATTCGGTTCGATGTTGCTTCTTGATTTATACGAAAGGAAGGCACGTTGCTTTATGCGGGGTCAGCTACCGTCGCGTCGGTGAGATCACAGGACATCTCTTCCGCAGTAAAAAATAAAAATTTTTCCCTTCTCTTTTCCCTCTTTCTCTGCGGAAGAATCTTTCTTTTCTTTGGCCATTTGAACTAGCTCGAGGCTAAATTACGATTTGGAAGGCAGTTTGACAGTAATTAACGAAGAATTTTATACCATGGATCGAACGTCGAGATCTATGGGCCTGTTATTAAACGAGTTTAATTACAACCTCCCGTTTCCCATCGTCCATTCCCCTCCACGCTGCGCTGGCCCGATGCCCGTATAAAGAATCCTGCCTGGATCCCTCGATCGAGCGATCAATCTTTCCGACGAGATACCGAAATTTTCGAAATTGGAGAAAGTGCTCTCCGTTCTGGCGTCTTAATCTTTTATCAATTGAAGTTATTACATTGATGAATTTCAGCAGTGCGAGTTTTGTTAACCGAATCGCATGGTTTACAATAGAACACTTATTTCTAACAATCCTTGACGGCTTTCTCTAATCTTTGGCGTTAATCGCAACATTTTAGCAATCGACGATTGATTTTGAAGCACGTCAGCGAAATTATTAACAACGGAAATCACATCCAGCCGGACGATATTATCAGAATTCCTAAAGTGTACTGGCAATATTACCTTTTAATTATCAACAAGTTTATGTTACATATATTACCTTCTAATTATCGACACATTCGCAGATAATCATTGGCGCGATAAACACCTTGCAACAGCCGCCACAGCTAACTATCTTGATACACTCCCATTTGGGATTTGTTCCTCGCGTGTGTTCTCTTAAGATAGATGATGACGGGACCGATAACGCGAGTTGAATGGTGACCGATACGTGTCGATTCGTGAAGCACGCTATTCGGCATTGATTCGAAGTCGGACATGCCCGCTCTCGTCAGAGAGAAAAAAATCTGTTAACATGGGACGGATCGTGATTACAGGTAGGCAGGTGTAGAGTTTGGTTAGGGCCTAAATGGCCAGCGAGATAGCAATCGTTGTTGGCTCGCATTAGCCGGCTAATTCTAAGCTAACCAGTATTATATCTCAGAAGATATAGCTTTATGCACTCGCGAAAGACTCTTGAACGAATCTCATGCCAGCGGTTTGACAATTTGCACGCTGTTAGGGAGATAGTAGCAAAAACGTGAGCGGAGATTACACATCAAAATGATATACCTAAAATATAATTTGTAACAGTAACAAAGCAATAACAGTGCTCCGCATTCAAGATTATTTTCTTTCCGAACATTCAGGATTATTAATGATTTAACGAGCTACGTTCAGTTAAACGACCGGTTAAAAGTCTGGCTGAAAACGTATTAATTCAGGGAAAAAGTATCAAAATTTTTTGGGTCTTTAGCTGCAGCTAATAAAATTCTTTTGGTTTTTATTGATAGAATCATCATGAAAGATTCAGTCAAGGAATATAATAGCGCGTTTCAAGTTCATCAATGATTGGAAACAATTATATATTGAAGAATTGAATACCGCAAATATCTTTTCTTACGTCGGTGAATATTTTTCGAAGATCTAAATTTAAAATCTGAATTGTAAAAAAATATTTGCGAATATAGATTGTTAACTGAAGTAAAATAATTTTTCTGTCAATAATCGAATGGAAAATAAGATGATTCTAGAATGTTAATGGATATAGAGGGAAAGCGTATTTAAAATATTTATTGCACTGGTAAAAAGTAGCATTTAGCGTATTCTAAATGTATTTATCTAATGAATCTCGTATACATTCGTCGTTTACGAGAATTGCACGGATTTATCACGCTTTTAATGACAAACGCATCTTTATTAATGTCTCTTTATTACCGATAATAGTTATTTCACTCGCACAGTTATATTCGCGCAACGATATTTTCAAGCTCCGTCCCGTTTACTTCTACTTCGACCGTTTCGCAGATCGCGCGTTTCCGGTATTATCCGATTTCCGTGCATGCGCTTTTTGTTTCGCGAACGCTATTCAGGATGCGTGGCACGATGGAGAATTGCACGGTTAACGCGCGGTTCCATTATTTCGTGGATCCACCAGCAGATTTGCACTTAGATAAAGACGCCATTTCGGCCGGTTTTTGCCGTAATAATAATTTGGCCCGCTGTGTGCTCGTCGCTTCGCGTCGCATCCGTCTCCTGTTGTCCGAAATGCGTGGCGTGTATAATTTTCGCGGCGCAATCGCATCGCAGATTGGCGAGCCCGGCGGAACGAATGGAAAGACATTAAGGAACAAACAATTAATTAATTACATAAGAATTGTGGGAAAAAGTATTAATTTAGCGACATGTGTGGAAGACAGTATCTCTGTATGTAGAACGATGTTAATCGTCCGATCTTTATTTATTTATCGACGGGGAAAAATTTCTCGGCATACACGCGGAATAAACGGCAGCCGGCGCAATCAACATAGCCGCTAATGAGTGAAGCGCATGCGAGCACGCGAGACGCGCATCCCTGGAAGTAATTTCCTCGCCGAAAATGAGTCGCGGCCGTGTGTTCCTGTCACCACGCGATCGGGAGAGACCCTTAAATTATCCAATAAAGTCGATCCGTCACGCCTTCGACTGGTCATTATCAGTAATTCCCACTTCGTTGGGACGAGCCCGCTTGCGCTGCGAGCGTCACGTACGCTCACGCTCGGGAAGTCACGAAATTATAGAAGCGGCGCTCATAATTTCCGCGGGCGACAAAATAACTCTTTCGAATTGCAATTATTCGAATAAACGGCGCTGATGGCCGCTTTAATTGGAAGATGATTTTTTATATCCCTCGGTTTTTGCACACGCATAAAGTATAAAATTATTATATTCCGGATATAAAATCTCAAGGAGACATAAAACTCGAACGCCACGGGGTATATAATCGTGCCGATTAACTGCTTCTTAGAGCGCGGAGGCTCTCACCGCGAGAAGTAAAAATCATGAGAGCGATCGCGATCGTCCGTCAATTAGTCCGTAAAGCGCCAAATAAAGGTCGAATTCGTGGAATTTCGTGTGTAACGTTGATGGAAAAGATTGACGAAAATCTTTTCTTTGGCCTGAATATGCGGTCGGCCGATCGTTATTTCTCGAGTCGGTCCGGAGCTGTCGGCGTCAGTGATCGAGGTAATGACATAATTAGTCGGCGCGGATGATAATTAGCGATCGTCCTGGTGCGCGGCCGGTTCGTTCGTGCATCCGGATTCGTCTACGTGAAGGCGCGTGGCTCGATTTATACAAGATATCCGTGGCATTTATGCCTGATCTTTTTAATCCTTTTATATTCTTTCGGCGGGGAGAGACCGTCGTTAGTAACGCCGCTTCTGTATGAAGCGTCCTCTCTCTCTCTCTCTCTTTCTCTTTCTTTCTTTCTCTCGGCTCGAGTTACGTCGAAAATGATCGTCGGGGAATAAAACCGATTATCCCCATTACGCGCCACGTTATTATTCGTTAAACTTATATACCTGACCGGCGATTATTTTCACGGTGCATCGATGCAGAAACGCGACCGGACAAGATTGCTCCCGCGTCCTTAATCCTCTCCTCGTTGCCTCGACTACTACGTTACAACAGTAATGACACAATCGTGGAGAGTTTTCTACTTTGTATCACAATAATTACGTTATCAAGAGCTAACGGCAATATTTTCGAATATCACAAAATGTGTCTCATGAATTTTTCATGCGATTATTCTTCGACTTAACGGTAGATCAATTGAGATACCTACGCGCTCTTTTCTTTTTTTTTCGTATCAGAATTTCACGCCGTCGAGAGCTGTCGGTGCAAGACTTACGATTAGAATGCTAATCGATGGCGTATCAGCCGGAATACTAATCGACGCGCATTTCCATGGAATTCCGGATCGCGTGTAATAATTATGCCATTAACTAATCGTTAGACTACCGAGACGATTCGGCAATTAAGGAGGACTCCTCGCGCGACGTGTAACCGAGGATTTATGACGCGGCTTTAATTCGACGGCGAGCTCGTTCCACGGTCTTCCACGGATCTTCCTTTTCGTCCGTTGCACGGCGGTTTCGTGTAATTTCGTCCCCGCGCGGAGCGGACGAACAGAGCCTGCCGTATAACTCAGATTTTATTCGGCGCTTTAATGCACGTCGGACCGCGCGAATCGTTTAAGCGCTCATTTTCGACGGCGGGACGTAAAATCGGTGATCAATTGGCGTTTTTATTCGCGCGGGACAAGCCGCGGGACATTACGGTTTTACGACACCACCGATGGAATAATATCAGTTTTGTAAAAATTTTTCGACAGATCGACTCTGCGCCGGTTATACGACGTGTCGCGGATGCCGTGTGCGACATATAATCGCGCGCGTAATGCATAAATAACTTGTCGCCACCCGTGATTTAAGTCCGCATATTGTGTGTGCACGCGCTGGTGGGTACAAATTACGCGATTAAACGTTTTTATGGACGCGGACGTAAAAATAAGGAGGAAAAAAAGTAAAAGCCGTGTCTAAAACGACCACTCTCGGGAAACGTCTTAACGTTTACGTCCAATTAACTTTTGCACACCGTCGACGGGTCTAAACTTCATCCTAAATCCTCGTCAACATTATGCTAATTTTCATCGGTTCCGCGCGATTGAACGTACGTTGTAACGAAGTCGGCAGATTTCATTGAATACAAATTTATTACCTTCTGGCGAAACGTTATCTGATCATACGTTCTGAACTTGGAGACGTTTTTCGGAGGAACTTCGCCGCGCGCGCGCGCGCGAAATAACGGACTGCGTATAAACAGGAAGTAATTTGCGCGACTTGTTCGCACGAAACACACATGAAATAAACGCATTTCGAAGGTGAAGGTGCGTGCACAAGTGTCGGGACGACAGTCGCGCATGTTAACGAACACTTAATACTTTTGTCGCATAATCTTTATCGTGTACGAAGCGCTCGCTTCCACCGTTAATTACAGACGAGCGTAGAGGAGTAAAGACATTGGGATTTCGCTGCGCGATCGCCACACGATTCCTTCTCAACGTTACTGAAAATAATGACACGTCTTTGGCGAACGGGCGCAAAGGACAGGGCAGGGAGGGTCCTTTCCGTGATATTCGTCGTAACGATGTCATTATAGAGGGCTAGTCAAAGACCGCATGCCAAAAAATGCACCTGCCGACCTTCCCGGGACGATCGCGGGCGCGCTATTAGCCGATTTCTGACTGTCCCCAGCCCGAAAATCGATACACACCTTTCGCAATTCCGTCGACGCGAAATCTTAAATCTCCAACCGGCAGTTTCGGACCCGATCGTCGCGTCACTTTTATCGTCGCCATCGTGTGCTATTTCGCTTATTAACGACGCGACCGACTGTTTCAGGACAAGCCGGGGTGAATCAATTAGGCGGCGTCTTTGTGAACGGCAGGCCGCTGCCGGACTGCGTGCGCCAGAGGATCGTGCAGCTCGCCATGGTCGGCGTCAGGCCGTGCGACATATCGCGGCAGCTACTCGTGTCCCACGGCTGCGTCTCCAAGATACTCACAAGATTCTACGAGACAGGCAGCATCCGGCCCGGCAGCATCGGCGGCAGCAAGACGAAGGTGAGATCACGTCAGAATTGGCGACTCTCGTCGCAAAAACTTTACGTTAATCGATATAGAATATTTTTAATAATATTTGGAAAAATTTTAGAATACGCCTGTTTTATTTAATTAATGTGAAGAGAATTTCATTAAGGATGTTTTGCACGTACAATCGTAGCAAAAAGTTGCTGAAATTTGATTTTGACGAATATATGCTCTTCTCATATAGTTTGAGTAATAAAGATTGCACAGAATCTTATCATTTATTCATAAGTAGAGTGCAGAAATGTACTTTTGAATTTCTGTTGTTTTTTTTCTGAGAATTTTCGAATTTTCTGAATTATGCCTGATATGCGGATAAAGATTAGTTGTGTTTATCCACAATGCCAAAAGTAGGCCCTTGTCGATGGAAAGGAAAAATAGTGACCAAAAAAGTGTATGAAAAGAAACTTCAACAAAAAAAAATTTTTTCTATCCATTTTAGCCACTTAAATCAACACGGTTACACATTTTCCATAAAGTCACGGGTAAATTCGTTGCAAATTACAACTTTTGATTGCTTCAGTGAATCGACTCCGGATTTTGTCACAAGTCTCCGAACATATGTAAGAACAATCTGTAAAATTTTTGTTAAATTCTTATTATTTCAAAAATAGGTGCTAAACATCACCTTAAACGCAAAATTTTATATTGAAAGTAACAACCGCACGCGTAAAATGCGCGGTAAGAGCGAGCGTAGCGATAGAGAATTGATGTTGGTAACTTTACAAAAACATGTGAAAACAAGCGAGCGCGCATCCGCGTGTGCGTTAGCAGGCGATGGCACTGATGAGAGTCCCGTGTAAAGTCGCGCGTTCAGGTATTCCTGATGTGATTTTAAGTAAGGGCTTGACCGTGCGTGCAATTATCCAAACACCTTGCAGCGTAGCGCGGCATTTGCATAATTTCATGGCTTTGCGCGGTTTTCTTTCTGGCACCACCGCCGGTTTAGCTTCGCACGCCATCGAGCAATGTTTCACGATAAATTAATCAATTCTCGTCGAACGATGTATAGGGAGTGTATTCGATTTTTCGATACGGAAATCCTTCGACGGGGACGGAATTTTCTTTTAGACGCCCGCCGTCGTCTCCGTTTTGCGATTTCACAATTCTGCTCCGCGCGCGCGATCGCAATTATTGATCTAAACACTAACATTTTTATTGTTCAACCCGTAATCGCGCTTGTCGTAAAATTTAACGACGGGTCGCAGTTTTTTGCCACACGAATACTCATGTGTCCCGGGTGTCTTGCTCTCTCGGGAACGTCATTTCGCCCCGCGGGTGCGCATTGCAAAGCCGCGCCGATTGATGCGGCGAGCGAGCGAGCGAGCGAGGTATGCATGCCCGCGGTATCGCGCGTACACGACGTCGCTAATGACAATATAATTGCACGGTGCGTATACACTGGAAATTTCTTACGGCGTGGCAGTGCACTGGCAGCGCATCACTGTGTTACCCTCCGCGCGTTTCGGCTTAATGAATTTATTTTAATAACACCGCGTCGGCGTGCGTCGACCTTCCTCCCGAGCTGCAAGTTCGAGTTTAGTGCACCGGCGCGGGAGAGCAAAATGGGGACGGAAAAGGGAGAGCGAGAGAGGGAGAGAGAGAGAGGGATAGCCGACGCTACCCGCCGTTAGGTACCCCGAAGAAAGCATTTAAATTCCGGCTGTGTGGCATGGGGGGCCGCCGATTACGCGCGCATGTAAACGATAGTCATCATCCGCCATTACCGGCGTTCGGTTTTTATTTTACGTATGTCAAAATAGTCCCGTGGCCAAAATAATGGTCGCGCGTTTAATACGGCCTCGGTCCTCAAGTCTTTTTTTAACCGCGTCTGCGATCAGCCGACAGAATTTTCCTTTTTTTTTTTTTCTTTCCATCTCTCTCCCGTCTTAACAAAGCGACGGTAGCTTTTGGCAATTTGGGTAAGAAATTAGGAAGAAATATGGTCGCCGGGGAGCAAGTATATACGCACGAAGGATCTCGGATCCCCCGTCTTGCACACGCGCAACGTATCCGATCCCGCCTACCGTCGCAAGCACAAAAGATTCTCTCTGGAGAAGATCGTTAGATAACACAGCCGGCTCGGTGGCGGCTCGTCACTGTCCGCGCGAGAGAGAGAGAGAGAGAGAGAGAGAGAGAGAGAG